TCACCAACGTAGTCTACGTTTCATCCTCCGAGTTCACTGGTTAGACTAGAGAACAAATGCCAGTATTCTCGCTGACACCAACTGTAGGATCATCGAGGCTACCATCATCCATGTGCAACTACGCTGGACTGGCCATGTTACCCGCATGGGCGACAATAGACTGCAAAAGCAGCTACTTTTCAATCACTTAACGAATAGTAAACGTAACGCTAGGAGGCAACTGTAAAGGTATAAGGATAGTCTTAAGACAAACCTGAAAAAGTGCCAAATCGACCTCCTCCCCTGGGAAACGATTACTCTACACTGCAACGCTTGGAGGAGCACCACACAAGGTGTCAATTCTTTCGAGCTAGCCCGACTGCATACCGAGGTAGAGAAGCACCAACGGCGGAAAGACGCTGCCACCGCCCCTCTCACACTAGATGTAGCCCTACATGCGTGCAACATATGTGGATGACCCTGCCGGTCCCGTATCGGCCTCTTTAGTCACCTCAGAACTCACCAACGAAGGTGGCATCCTTAATAAATCATGTCATATTATCATAGCCGGTGTAAAAACCCTTCTTGATATTATCCTCTGCATCCAGTGTTAGGGCATATGCACTGATGAAGAAGGCATGACGTGAGTGATTCAGTGGGACTCGGAGCGTCATGAGGCGCTCGTTGATCCCAACAGGCATTTCAGTTAGTCTGTGGAGGATGGATTGATTAATGGCAAAGCGATTTCCATAAATGCGGTTTCTGTCCGCTGCAGTCTTACCTTTCCAGAAGAAAGTATATCAGGACCCCCGTTTTGTGAGTCGACCCTCTTCTGGGAGCTAGGATTCACTAATGGCTGCAATGTCGATGTTATACCTAAATAGCTATTTTGCCACAAGGGCGGTTCTTTAAGGACGCTTAATAAATTTGTGCCTTTATCAAGAAGTGTCCTGATATTCCATGCAGCGTCCACATGAGGACGTATAATTTGTTTTTCTTTGATCTGTGATTATGATTATGTCTTTGACCTCATTAGGATGACCTTACTGGGTGTGGTTGCTAAGTCAGATTCTTTTTTTAGCCAAGCAATGCTTAAGGCACCTTTTATAGCCCCCTCCCAATGTTGGGTGAGCAGTGGCTCCTTGAAAGAGCTGTTCAGTCACACAACTAGTGCCGGACTGCCTAGATCACAGTGCATAAACGACCATTTTATCTATGCCGCCTATGTGCAGAGTTCGGACTAGAGAATCCCGGCAGTCATCTCTGTCTGTTCCCGTCACCACTCCTCTGTCGCCAAGGGAATTTTGGGGGTTTAGGGGTTTTGGTGATGAAAAGTATGATGAGCTGGATGATGGCTGCACATGAGTTGTTTATGTGGTAGAGCACGAGTGCAGGCTGTAACCACACATCTTAGCTCTTCATTTTCCTGATGCAGTGGTGCAGGTAGCTGCAACGACTGGGGAGAGGGAGAGTTGCAGTGGACATCCGATCGCCCATTTTTGTTGGGTTTCGCCTTAGTAACCTGTATCTTCCATTGCCTTCATCCGCCGATGTATTCGTTGTCGTTGGGTTCCTATGTTGGTCACCTCTTCTGCCTATTTCCCCGTTAGTGTCATACTGGAGCTCTGTAAGCATGTCTGCCTGATGAGGGGTTCCGCCGTAGATTTTCTTTCGGGGTTGCTCACTCCCGTAGCTTTATAACTGCGAAAGTTAATCCACAAGGCAGCGGTCCAGTGGTTGGTAGGAGCTAGGGTGTGTCCACATGCGGTGGGCCTGTACGCCTCCGTCTGGGACCCACTGCTGGTCCGAGCTCCCCTGCTGATCTTGCCTGGGGCCGCGAGGAACCCAGTTCCCGTTTGTTGCCGCGAGGAGGCACAGCATGAGTTTTGATGGCGAAGAGGGTGTGCTGGTAAGGGTAGACTTACGCAAGGCTGCTTCCCTATTCACCACGAGGGCTAGCCAGCGGTGGTAGCTGACAGTGAGAGGAAGCAAGCAGTGCCTGCACCTTAACGCTAACATAATGCTGCCACATTAGATGCATTACACCACCCTGTGTACAAACAAACACACACACACACACACACACACACACACACACACACACACATACACATAAGAGGTCAACTCGCCTACGAACCTCTCCTCTTGACACTACGGGTGATAAACAAGTACAGTACAATGAAAAAGACTGTTAGGCCCTAAATAACTTGTCTTGTTGAGAAGCAGACAATACGAACCTAAACTAACCTAAAATTTTATTATAGCATTCTTAAAAGTAGTTAGTTATATTATGTTACATTTTAAGAACACAACGCGAACCTAACCTAACCTAACCTAACGACCACTGGGTAATTTTATTAATACAGTTTGGATGAAATGTGTTAGCTCAGAAAATAGAGTGTTTCGCGACCAGTTCTCTTGCTGTCTCTCTTTCATTTTCTCTTCTTTCTTTACACCAATTAATAAACCTCATATACAGGAGTTAGGTAAGATGGGGTTTTCCTTTCCGCATAAAGATTATTGACCTGAGCTTGGGAAGTCGATTCCAGAACACCTTGAACAATTCCTATTCACAAGTAGGCAGGATGGGAGGCACTGCACTCGACCGCTTTCACTTCCCCCGGCGTGAATCTCCATAATACGGTTACTATAGGTAGACAAGGGGGAGTTCGTGTCCATTGTTTATATACGGCGTTTCTCATTATTTTTTTGCTCTAAATTACAAAACCTTTTAAAAAAGTCTGGGAGTCAAGCCAAGTCACGCAACCCTACAGCTCCTCTCAAACATTTCCCATTTCTCCTATATTAGCACATCTATGTAAATATTCAAATATGCGTTAAAATTCTCTCGACACATGATCTTTTTGTTGACATGGCGGTGCATGTATTGATGATAAATGAGAAATGGTAATAGAAGAAGACAATAGAAAAAAAGACAACATGTTTTTCTTCAGTATACATTTAGTGTTTCCAAGGACACACATAATGGTAAATAATGGGTAACGCCGTACATAAAAAATGGACACGTACTCATCTAGAGCCAGAATCGTAGCCCGGGGTGTTAGGGGTTTCACCTTTATATGTACAGTACAGGTATTTGATCTCGTTGACTTAACTGACTCTTTTTGGTTCCTCCCTTGTTCTTGCCCCCCTCCTCCCCCTCTCTCTCTCTCTGCTTCTCTTCTGTCTCTCTCTATCCCCCATTCTCCCCGCCTCTCTCTATTTGCCGTATTCACTGGTAACTCAGAATGCAAATTAATCGCCCGTGTAGTTGGAACACAATTCAGGCAAAGCTAAGAGTTTCCTGCCTGTTGTACGTCGTAGTTACCAGGAAACAAAAGCCCAGAAGTACTTCCCTGAACTCTCAGTCCAGTAGTGTGGTGAGGAGAGGTGAAACAGTGTAGTTGGTCACGTAACACAATGTTCCTGGGATGAAGAGGAAGCAAATTATAAGTAAATGTATGGTATTTCTGGTAATTATTATTTTTATTATTATTATTATTATTATTATTATTATTATTATTATTATTATTATTATTATTATTATTATTATTATTATTATTATGTGCACTCATATTCATTAATACTTACATAATAACTATTACTGTACGTCATAAACACCCAAAAAAATTTAAAACGAAGTATTTTTTATGACGAGATTTTTTTGTTATTTTTACCTTAAAAACAAGTTAGGGAGTTATGAAAGATCTCCTATTGACCTTATTATTTTACGAATTAATTATCTAAAGAGGAAGAAACAATAGTTACATAAGCTATTTTCTGTTGATGTTCAAATGAAAGATTAATTCTGTTTCATTTTTTTTATTTGGAACCGAAATCAGTCTATGAAATTTTAATTAAAAATAATATCATTTCAGATATACGAATAATAAATAATATTTTAAATATGCATTTGTATTTATATAGCTGTGATGAAATACAGCCCCCCCTCCCCCGTCAGGTTATTTACACCAGACAGTAGTTGCTTGTTACTGAAAATTCCAATCTATTAGCACTTGGATATTTTCACCTGACCGTACTCACCGTAGCCTCGGATCTCACTATAACACAAGATCCATGGAGTGATAGACATACAGTAGGTAGGTAGTTGAGGATAGATATGGGTAGATAAATACACAAACGCACACTTACCTGTAAAATATAAACACGCACATACACACGAAATATACAAACAAGCTAAACACACACACACACACAGCAATAACTCGTTGATAACTTGTGTGTTCAGTTTTTGCCGACTTTAACTTTTGTACTCTAACTGTGGATACAGACAGCGCTCGCATCCTGTTCCGGGGGTCGGTAGTTCGATTCCCGGGCGCTCCTAGTTCACCCAGCTATAAATGGGTGCTTAGCTCCTAGTTCACCCAGCTATAAATGGGTGCCTAGCTCCTAGTTCACCCAGCTATAAATGGGTGTCTAAGTTTACAACTTGGGGAAGTGAAGGCGGTCGAGAGCAGTGCCGGCCATGTTGCCTCCTTGTGTACCGAAGGCTTAGTATACTGTAAAGTGTACTGTATCCACACCGGCCCAAATGGGCAGTCTCCTTTCCAATGTAAATGTGCTGATATTCCTTGTAAAATGACTTTCCCCGTAGTCATTATATGCTATATATGTACCACTATGTCATTTGTATATTGTCAGCTTATGGCTGCTGTACTTGTCAAAAACCGTTTATTATTATTATTATTATTATAATTATTATTATTATTATGATTATTATTATGATTATTATTATTATTTATTATTATTATTATTATTATTATTATTATTATTATTATTATTATTATTATTATTATTATTAATTATTAATTATTATTATTATTATTATTATTATTATTATTATTATTATTATAACGCACATACACACATACACACGTACACACACATATTGAATAACTCACACTGGCATACAAAGTACAGTTGTATATTCCAAGACAATATGATAGTTTTCTCTTATCTGTAATGGATCAGTTAAGGCATTGGAGAAAGAAAAGCATAAGTGATATAATTATATATATTTTATATGAACATAAAAATATACAAAGCCACTTTCCGTAGCAAGGATATAGGAAACATCTTTTAGCATAGAAAGATAAAAGTTTTTTTTTTAATGAATAGATGAACGTTTGTCTGTTTGGTCGTTAACCATTAATAAAGGGAGATATATCTTTGGAACAGCATATGTGATAACTTTCTGAGATTTACAGAATGCGAACATAATTTTTGTACAGTTTACTCATATTATATAAATGGTTGCATTATATAGTTGATGTGATGATACATTCAATGTAGTAATAAAAACAAAGGTCTGGTCTGTAGTAATGTGTTTACTTGTTATCAGAATCAAGGTTAAATTTAATTAATATCTGGTATTTGTTGAATCTTAACTATGTGATGATAATTCTGATAACTTTAACAAAGGAGTGATGGAGCTTTTATAAACATATTAAGTCCACTATCACGGGCCATTCAAGGCCCTCCTTACATTAGTTTTAATACGCAAGACCTAATGTGTTTGTGGAGCACTGGATTGGCAGGCCGGACACTCCTCGACGGTAGGTACGACGGGTGGGCGGCCGTAGGATCCGCTGCGGAGGTGACTTCTCCCTTCGCTGAACATCTTTATCGCATGAAAGAGAGAACAGTGACCACGCCCTCCTGAATTGTGACCGACGCCTGCGACCCTCCGTGGAAACTGTGGTTGATGGCGCTGGTGTGTTGCTGTTGTTCACTGTGGAGACTGGTTCTGGTGGCGACTTTGACAGTGGTGGTAGGCTGACAGAGGAGCAGAACTGTTTTCTTCGTTCCAGTATAGAGCCAGTTTTACCAGTGCGTCTTTCTGTCGAGCGGCTGTGTCGTTGGCCAGCGTCCTGACTGTTGGAGGGACTGACACTGTGTCTGTCAGGTGACTGCCGCTGCCAGTCCACCAGTTTTTCTACGTTGCCAACTGTGCTGTACTTGGAGTTCAATCTTTGCTTGGACTTGAGCGGAGAAATATATCTTTGCTCGGGTGTAGGACCACACCAGCATTCATCAGAGAACCTCAACAACTTATGTCCAGGAGCCGAGGAGGCGGTGGAGGTGTGTGCGTACTGGAAGTAACATGTCCTCGCTCGACCCTCCGCTGAAACCTCCCTCGCGCTCTTGTCCTCCTCCAGGAGACAAGGGTCGTCGTAACTGCAGTCAAAACTGTTCATCCTCCTTAAAGAGAACCTAAGTTTGTTCTTCGTCGTATCGTGAGTAGGGTAGGTCGTGCTCCTCGTGTTCAATCCTTTTTTACCAGTCGCCATTGTCACTGAAGTAATGTATCACTGATAATTGGGAAGCGTACTTGAACTAAATCTTTACTATCGTCACAACTTCAGACTGTCCACATAATATGAATTATTAGTGATGTCAGCAGCAGCAGTAGCAGCTAGAGCACCAGTATTCAAGCACCACCGACGTCCTGAGCCCAAGTGTAATAGAATGAGATCGACGTCCCTCTTAAATACATTCCCAAGTCTCCACACCGCCTGCGTGTGCTGCCAAAGTGCGAGAGTTGGCAGGACTGTGGCGTGTTGTTTTCCAGTTCTGGCAACCAGGGTTGGAAGGAGAGCGAGAGAGCACATGTGCAAGCTTAGTGTACGTGACTCCTACAGAATACTGCTGCTATTTTCCTTAAACTTTATCTGCAATATCAAGAAGAACGATTCTCTATATCCGAAACCAAATGATGTAATTATCTCAAAACTGCTAATAATAAAATCAGTTGATGTTATGTAGAGAAAGTCTTTTCACAATTATTATCAAGAGAATTATTATTTTTTATACTGTATATGTGTGTCTGTATGTATGTTTTTATGTATGTATGTAAGTATGAATAATACAGTACATAAATCCTGCCTTACCTTATCTATATCCATATCTTATAGTATCCCACTGCCAGGCTGGACCAACAGGGAGGCTTATCCTATGATCCCCAGAATGACGGAGTAGAGCGCTGGGTTAAAAATAGAAAGTTGGTGGGACAAACAATGTTGATGTTTTCTCGGTCGAGGGATGACGAGGGCATCTGTCCCCTCTAAATCCCCTGTTTTTACTGCCATGTACAGCATTAATGCCAACGTCGGATATCAGCGAGTCTGGGGAAACAATGAGGAAAAAATATACGTATAAAATAAATCAGGAAAATAAAATATGAAGTATAGTAGACATATATTGATTATACCGACATCTTATTTGATATATTGATTATACACATATTATAATCGATATATTAACTATACTAGCATTTTATTATTGATATATATATATATATATATATATATATATATATATATATATATATATATATATATATATATATATATATATATATATATATATATATATATATTACTATACCGGCATTGTAACCGATAAATTGCCTATTCTTGTATTTTAGTGTTTATATTATTGATTACTCTGAAATAATTATATTGATACATCCATAATTAATTACTATGATCCCACGCTGAGTCTGGCACGACGGCATCGTGGGTGCCATATTGCCATAGTGCTGTACCTGACCCCTTTGTTATAGAGATTGATGAGGACCTCTCGTTCGTTTGGGGGGAGTTGTTGACCATCCACGTCTGTCATCAACTGTTACCAGATCCCTTGTTAAAAGATGTCGGTCTCCTCTGGGTCTAGTAAACACAGCCAAAATGATAGAACGCAGAATTATTTTTTTGAATATATATGAAATTTTAGTATTGTTATTCACTGTTTTTTTTTCAGTTATTCATTATATTTACTTATTTTCCAGAAATTCACTGTTTTTTTTATACATTTCTGTTGCATGGTTGAAATTTTGTGTTTGACCACTTGAGTACAATGATTTAACACCTTGAGTGTAATATTGGTACTCAAAGGGATAGGTAATCGTATTCAAAGGGTTGAAATATCTTATACGATGAATTAAGACATTGTACTCAACGGGTTAGTCGTCGTACTCAGTTTTTAAGATATGATAATTAATGGACTCGCGCATATCGACTAATAAAATAGATAAAGAGTATTCTCCTAATTTCAAAGTATAGTTCAAATAATATTTCACTCTCGCCTGTGTTGTCTTGTCCTGAGTGAACTACTGTACAGGAGAAATGCGCTATATTTGTTCTCAATTCGATATGAAAGAATTATAAAAACAAAGCAATGCAAGATTAACCCCCCCCCCCTCTTCACCACAAAAAAAATCGATAAATATTCGAATTTTATTATCATATGTACGTTGAGAAAATATATTAAATTATTAGAGAATGTTGGAATTTTTTTCTGATCCTGGAAATAATATGAGGATTATTTCAGCTCCTAATTTATCAAAGGGTATTTTTGTTTTACAAGACAATACAGTAACTAAACGTTATTCGTCCTAGTGTTCAACAAAATCAGGAAGCTGTCGCCGCTGCCTGGATGACCACAGGCGCTTGGAGTCACCCCACACAGCGTCAGGCTTCTGTCGTTGCCATGGTGACCTCCACCCCGCCATGACGTCAGCAAGAGACTACGCACATGAACGCGTTTGATTACAGAAAATAACACCGTGTAATTTCTTCTTTTTAGTCGTGCATGTCCACCCTTCCCTCGCTGCTAATGATGGAACTTGACTGAGTGAATTGGAGTCTAAATTTACCCACGAAATGAGTCAGTGAAAAATTTTAATGTGTATAGTAATCACGTGGTTGGTTGACGACTGTGAGACCTCCACCTAACGGGACGCTTTGTAGTTAAGGACTTACCTATCTACCTGACAACCAGTGAAGTGAGAAAAAATGGGCTTGGTAAAGATTAAGTTGAAGTCGAGCCTTAGACTAAATAGATAGAAACATAATAAAACTATAGTCCAGTTTTCAGTGGCGTCTTGGCTTTATCTTTAAAGGGTTTTATTGGGGGCTATAAGACGTCAGAAGACATCTAAAGTGTACTTCTCTCGTTTTGATATATATTATTTGGACTTTTATTCTAAGTTCTAATTCCATATTTTACATCTATAATATCCTCTCGTATAACGCAAAAATAATTTATATCGATTATACAGGGTATATACTGTCGTTTTCATCATTTGTTACTTATATATAAATACGACTCACTTTATTTCCTTAGATTATTGGTATTGTATGATATTCCAATAATGTATTATACCTGTGCAAATAGAAGAGTTTTTTATTCATATAAATTGTATTACATACTGCATATTTACTGTAATGACAGTATTGGTAAAAATAATAAAATATATGTTTTGCCGTCGTGTAAAAATAATAATGATAATAATAATAATACTACAACTAATAATAATAATAATAACAAAGAAACAAGAACTACAACAACAATACTACTAATACTAATAATAACAATAACAATAACAACAACAATAATAATACAAATAATAATAATATAATTATCCAGGTAAATTTCACCCACGGCACAACAGGTGAAGACACAATCCAAAAACTTACTCGTTTCGCAGACTTCAAAAAACGGAATTCTCCCATCCTCCGACCTATTGTCCAGAACTCGAACTGTCAAAGGTTTTATACGTTATATTTCCTTCGTAACTGGAGATCCAAGGATTTACAAACTATCTCAATCAGCATAAAACAAAAATCCAACACAACGTTAAAATTGAACTAGAACCTCTCATTTAACAACCAATTAAAGAGAGCTTATTAACGTATTGACTTTTGTGGCCATGGCCCTTAATTCTCAAAAAAAAACTAGGTTAAATTATCTCCCTCATCCCCTCTGTGCTGAATAAAATCGTCTGACGTAAGCCAAATGAAACCTTAGAAGTGTTGTCCCCGCCGTGAAGGGGTTCATTGCATACATAAGTAATACCTAAGAGTGACTATGGCTGGGTTACGACTGTACTGTATACGTGTGATGTTTCGGGATTCATTGATTTTGCTTGATATAATTGTTGGGTGTTCTAGAGGCTGGGGAGAGAGAGAAAGAATCGGCAAAAAAATAGATAATACGACGAGAAAAGAGAGAGAGAACACAGGGAGAAGAGAGAGAGAGAGAGAGAGAGAGAGAGAGAGAGAGAGAGAGAGAGAGAGAGAGAGAGTTTTACGAGTATACCTTTGTTTCACTCTCTATATTACTCTCTAAATATATTGATAAAACCCCGGCGCCCCGAGCAACAGATACTAACGTAGGAAGAAGCATAATATAGTTTAAAACACCCACGTGTGACGCTTTGTTGAGGTCAGAGTCGGCAATTGTTTAGCTTCACGTGTGCCCTTTGAATTTATATTTATATTTAGTTTCTGTTTATTATTATTATTATTATTATTATTATTATTATTATTATTATTATTATTATTATTATTATTATTATTATTATTATTATTATTGTATTATTATTATTATTATTATTATTATTATTATTATTATTATTATTATTATTATTATTCAAAATATATGAACTTTCAATACAAGGCTTATGAGATGTATTTTAATGTGGTTGGTTAGCCGGATTTTCTCTACAGGCTATATATATATATATATATATATATATATATATATATATATATATATATATATATATATATATATATATATATATATATAATTTTTTATTTTGCCACTTACAGCGGCTAGTTTATTGTGTACCCAATACTCATCCTGTGAGCGGTAGCGCAAAAATATGACAGAGTAGAGTTCACAAAGGGTCTGTATAACTAACCCCGTGGTCAGGATATTATTGCATTGAATTTTACAGAGTATTTCAAATAATTTCTTTGTACAGTTCTGTACATAATGGATAACTTATTCGCAACTGCGTGAGTACAGCAGTGTGAGGCAATATGCCTGGCCGCACACATTTGTTATTCACCTTTGCGGGAAAGGTATTCTAGCACATTTCGTGTTTGGTTCTATACATAGGACATGATATAGCTACTGGGTGCAAAAAAGTGGATACAATCTTAATATGTCAACTATCTTGCCATTAGAGATAAAGTGTTGTGCCATTTCACTAACAGTGTGCTTGGACCTGTCCCTAAAAGGTTCTATCTTCACATAGTCGAGGACATAGTGTTCGAGTGTGTGGCCATATGTCTGACCACACACTTTACATTTTTAAGTTTTGCATGTGTGTGATAATCTCAATCACTGGACAATAACACCGAGGAGGATGGACCCATTGAAGTAAAATGATGCCAAATATAGGAAAATAATAGGTAAGAGCACTAAGACAGACAGCCACATGTAAGGCTGCCATTTTTTCCTCTATAATACTCTATTTGACGTGTTTTGGCGTCATATGTAAGGAGTGAAATCTCTCAATCATATTCTCAGGCTATATACCCACGCAATTGTACCTCGCCCACGATACTGAGACTATTTTTAACAAACGTGTGTGTATATATATATATATATATATATATATATATATATATATATATATATATATATATATATATATATATATATATATATATATATATATATATATATATATATATATATATATATATATATATATAATTTTTTTTT